TTTGTAAGTTAGGTATCATTTCCACAGTATAATTATTTCTTGTCTTTATCATGTTTTGTCCTCTTCATCACAGAGTTGTCGTTTAAGAACAGGAAGCTTAGAGAAGAACAGTGCGGTTGGAGGCAGGGCAGATGGAGGAGGAGGAGGAGGTGGAAATGGAGGATTGGGAGGGAGTGGGCTAGTGGATGCCCTCATATCCAGTGTGCTGGATGAAACAGACCAGCTGGGCCTTGCACATCTTCAGGACAAACCTGAAAAGTGAGTGTCTTTTTAATTTGGTTATGCATAGTGTAGATTTGCAGCGATGAAACTTCTCTAGATTCAAGATTTAGTTTATAAATTGTGAATGGAATCTCTGTATCTACAATATATTTATTATACTTTTGCTTGAACAGGACTGTCAACAATAACAACAGCAGTATAGGAGGGGTAAGGACAATGGGCCGTGATATTGGAGGAGATGGCATGTTGTGGGGCACAAGTCTCAGTAGGGGAAGCCACTCAGATGATTTCTATCCTCCAGCCCATCCACAAAACCAGTCAGATTTCATCCACTACCTCTTTGACACAACTGGACAAGATGATGAGGTAATTTATTGCTGTGGAAATTGAAAAAAATGTGAAAAGCAATTTATATCTAAGTTCAACCTTGATTCTAATTTTTTACTTGGATATATAGTTCTTATTTTATAAAACAAAATAGTAGAGAAAAGCAAAGAGAAACATAGGGTAGTATCATCAAGAGCATATTTCTGTGTTGCATTGCTTTTTCCTCCCCTGTTTTGCCTATTTCTTAAAAAAAAAAAAAAAAAAAAAAAAAAGTGATTTTTTGGGGGGCTTTTTATTGAGAAAAATTTCTTGCCTTTACCACAGGTGGGCCTGCAAGGTAATTATGGGGAATTCTTTCGGGAAAGAGAACTAAGTGGCAGCTCCAGAGACTCAGGTTATGGTTCCTTCTTGGGAATGGGAGGAACAGGCTCACCTCCTGGTATGTCTTGCAGTAGTCAAGCTTCCATCTGTGATGTCCGAAAAGGTCCAAATGATTCTCTAGGCTTGCCATCAAACAGAGGCATAAACCATGACTTCGACCAACTGACCAGTGAATTAAATGCACAGAAAAACTTTTTGGATAACTTGCAGAGACTTAACCAACTTAATGGAGGCAGCTCACCAGGCTTATCCCTTCTCCCTCCACTTGGTGATCTTGATCCGCTCTTGCTAGGAGGTACAGATCTTGGGGATGCTACAACCTTAGGCCTCAGCCAACTCTTGCCCCCAACACGAGACCTTCCACATGATTTCTTACCCCCATCTTCCACACCAACCTCAGGTGACCCCTTCTCCTTGTCCTCACTTGGGGTGAAATCAAGCCTCAGCTTGGAGGTTATGCGAGGTCAGCCTTCTTCATCAGGAACTGGTGTGTCTGTCCAGTCCCAGCATCAGCCCAGCAGCTTGAGTCAGGCAGAAAAGAACCAGCAGATGGTTAGTCTCCTTGGAGGAATGAGCATTCATGATAGTATCTCACATTCTAATATGAACAACCTCACCAGCCATTCCCTAGGGGCACTTGCAGCATTATGTACACCCAGTCTCTCTACTCAGTCACCTGGCCAGGCAAATGCATCCCATAATGGACACACTCTTGCAAATCGACCTCAATCCTCACCAAAGTACTTGAACTCACAGCTCTCCATATCAGCCAATGGAGATATATCTCCTAGCATTATGAGAAAAGAGGAGCGCACTGTTTGTGTCACATCACAGAGTGGTCAGGGCTCCCCTTCAGAATCAAGGATGTCAGACCAACACACAGGACCAGGGAAGGAAGGTCTTGGGCACTGTGGACCAGTAGGACCCCCACCAAAGGGTCCCTTTTTGGTTCCTCCTCCAACATTCCCACCAAATGACAGTGTTCCTCCATGGGAATTGCTGCCTCCTCTTGGAGATATCTTTCCCCCCCATGGACCCCCTCCTCCACTGCTTCCACCAAACACAGATCTTCTGCCTCCGTTTGCAGATCTTCCTCCCCATCCTCTTCTCTCTGTACCACCACCATTATTGGGATTCAGACATTTTAGGTAAGATAAGACTGATATTTGTTTTTCATTATTGGTATAAGAAAAAATGTTATTATTCTTTAATGCATTCCAAAGGATATTGTGATGATTTTCATTTTTTTATCTTTTTAAGGAGAACTGGAGGAAGTGGTGAACTGCACTCACGCCTTGAAGAATGCTACGACCAATTTCGACAGCTGGAGCGTGAAAGAAAAAAGACTGAAGCAGAACTGGCTCGCTGTTTTCCCGGCAAGCGTGTTTCTTCAGCAAACACTGTACCTCTCCCTCGCCTTCCTCCTTCTCCTTCACGAGTAGACCGTCTAATCATTGATCACCTACGAGAACATGCCAGGGTAATTGTAAATATAAAATTGTTTTAACCCATTGGATTTGGATGCTTCACTGCCATCAAGTGGCTTAAAATTTGTGGCCACTGATAAGTT